TCCCACGCGGGTGCAGGTTCCCAAAGCTTTGGGCCGTCCTGGACTGCTTTCCCAGGCCACAGGCAGGGAGCTGGAAGGGAAGTGGGGCTGCCGGGATTAGAACCGGCGCCCATATGGGATCCCGGGGGTGCAAGGCGAGGACCTTTAACCACTTGCGCCACCGCGCCGGGCCCAACCTTAGGGTAATTTCAAAGAGTGAGCCTGAGATCATTGCAACCATGAAGGAGAGTGCCCACTAAATGACCTTGGTCCTCTGCCTGGAGGAAGGAAAGAAACAAGTTTAAGAAGTGTGGTACACAGGGTCTTGGTAGTTCTATAAAAGCAGCTCTGTATATCAACTAAGATCTATAAAGATGGGGCACGTGCTGTGGGAAGCAGGTTAAACCACAGCTTGGGGTACTCACAGCCCACATCAGCGTGCAGGGCTCCAGTCCTAGCTTCTGCCTTCCTACTAATGCACTTGAGAGGCAGCAGATGGTCCAGGGTCTTGGGTACCTGCCACCCATGTGGGAGACCCTGATGGGGTCCCTGGACCCTGGCTTCAGACATCCATCCTGGCTATTGCATGCATTTAGGGAGTGAACTAGCAGATGGAAGATATTCATTCTCTCCCTATCAATAAATAAAAATAGATTTTCTAAAATACTGTTTTTAAAATTTATTTCGAGAGACCCAAAGCTAAAGTTGTCATCTGTTAGTTCACTCCCTAAATGCCTACAGCCACGGGGATGGGGTCAAATCAACGTTAAAAGCTACAAATTCATTCTCTGGGTCTCCCACATGAGTGTCAGCGACCTAACTGCTTGAGCGCTGGAGCTATCGCCCTGCTTTTGTTTCAGCCAATTCCTCTAGAAGCTACTTCTCTGCTTTAATCTGAGCTTGTTGCTTTCTTATCTGATGTACAGCTATCATGTTGGGACTTAAATCTGCTGTCTGCAGTAAAAAAAAAAAAGTTCAGGATGGGTGTTTGAGGCAAGTCACTTTGCTTACCTAAGTCAAATCCAGATCCGGTATTAGAGTGTCTGAAGTCTCAAGGCCTCTTTTTCTGGTCTAGTTTCCTGCTTATGCACACCTAGGGGTGGGGGCCGGGTGGCAGATGATGGTCCTAGTACCTGAGTGCTTGTTACCCATGGGGGCAGACGCAGAGTGAGTTTCAGGCTCTTGCCTGCAGTCTGGCTCAGCCAAGGTTGTTGTGGGCATGTGGGGAGTGAATTAGTAGATGGAAGTACCTGCAATAAGATGAGTGTGCGCAATGCAGGTATCCCAAGAGGCTCACCTGCTGTGCCAAGTGCCTGTCTCAACTCTGTTGAAATCCTACCCCTAGGAGCTATGAATCTGACTTTATTTGGAAATACTGTCCTTGCAGAAGACCAAGTAAAGATGAAAGCATCAGGGTGAGCTCTTCCAGTGTCACTGTGCCCTTATCAACAAAGGGAAGCTGCATGCAGCGACAGGCACACATGGAGGATGCTATGGGATATGGAGGCAGACAGAAGGGACGACAGCAGGAACCAAAGAATGCCAAGATTGCCAGGAAATCACCAGAAGTCAGGAGGGAGACTCCCCAAGTGCCCAAAAGGCCAGCTTTCCAGTTTCTAGGCTCTGTAAGTAGGATGATACATTGCTGTTGGTTAAGCTCAGGCTTTAGCACTGATGTAGCCCTAGTGAGCTGATGGCTACATTTGGTCACTGTTACTTCTGTATAACTCAGTCTCCTGGGCTAAAATGTAAGCACCCTGAGGGCAGGACCTTTTCTAGTTTATGTATGAATCTTCATTATCTAAATATAGTGTGTGATGGCCATGCATGGTAATGTAGTGGCTAAAGTCCTACACTTGATCTTAGCCAAAAGGCCCAGAAGCGATGTGGCTAAAGTCCTAACCTTGCACATGCTGCTAGGATCCCATGTTGGTGCCAGTTAATGTCCCTGATGCTCAATTTCCATTCCAGCTTCCTGCCTGTGTCCTGGGAAGGCTGTATAGGATGGTCCAAAGCCTTGGGTTCCTGTACCTGTGTGGGAGATGCAGAACAGGTTCCTGGCTCCTGGCTTTGGATCAGCTCAGCTCCTGGTCATTGCAGTCACTTGGGGTGTGAAACAGGGGACAGAAGATCTTTCTCTGCCTCTTCTCTCTGTACATCTGACTTTCCAATGAAAATGAATAAATCTTAAAAAAAAAATTAGTGTGCAGTAGCCTAGTGGTTAAAGCCCTCACCTTGAACGCACCAGGATCTCATATGGGTGCCAGTGCTTTCCCATATTGGGAAAGCAGTCGAGGACGGCCCAAAGCCTTTGGACCCTGCATCAGTGTGGGAGACCTGGAAGAAACTCCTGGCTCCTGGCTTCGAATCAGCTCAGCTCCAGGTGTTGCGGCTGCTTGTGCAGTGATTAATGGAAGATCTTCCTCTCTGTCTCTCCTGTATATCTGACTTTGCAATAAAAATAGATCTTTAAAAAAATAATGTCTGACACATCATAGATATTTGTTGAGAAAAGTAATATTCATAGATACAGCACTTTGGAGGAAAGGATTTTTTTTTTTTCACATGAACCTGGACAACATTTTCAGTTGAAAAAAATCCTAGGAATGGGTATCTGGCATAGTGGTCAAAGATGCCAGTTGTGGAGGCTGGTATTGCCATGCACCAGGTTAATTTTTTTTTCATTACTTTATGATATAGTTCCATAGGCTCTGGGATTTCCCTTGCTTCACTCCCCACACCCTCTGATTTCCCCTATATTATTACAATAGTAGAGTTCTTCATAAACAGACGTAAGTCCGTCATTCTGCTATTTAAATGTATCCTGACATTGCAGGCATGGACAATGGCAGAGTCCAGCATCCTATTGTTAAGATACATTTCAGAGTTTTATTGGGAGTCCATCTTTGATCTGGAAGTAGAGATGCATACTGCATTGTATCCTCACATCTGGATATGTCAGTTTCTATTACACAATTACTACACATCCCCTTAAGTGAAAAGCCATAAAATAAAATAAAAAATGGAAAGAAAAATTGAAATTTACAATGCCATGAAGTTAAATAGCATGCTACCAAATGAGTAATGTGTCACAGCAGGTTAAACTTATACAGATTTATTTATTCATTTGAAAGGCAGAGTTAGACACAGAGATCTTCCATCTCCTGGCTCACTCCTCAAATGGCTGCAACACCCAGATGGAAGCCAAGAGCTTTATCTGAATCTCCCCGGTGGATGACAGGCCCCTTGAGCCATCATCTGCTGCCTTCCCAGGCACATTAGCAGGGAGCTAGGCTGGAATAGCTGGGACTGGAGCCAACACCCATGTGATGCCAGAACTGCAGGTGGTGACAACCTACTGTGTCACACTGCTGACCCCTAAGTTTTTTTTTTTAAGTTAGCATTGTTTACATAGTTGAGAGGCCTGTATGCCTACATGGGTCTCCTATTAACGTGGGGAGGGTTGAGGTATGGAGGAAGGTGGGTGAGAGGAATGTTTCCATTTTTTTTTCCAGAAGCAGAAGTGGATGGGGCCACTTCTGACTAGCGAAGTACGACACACCCATGAGACACAGGTTTTTAAGTCTTCCCACTCCGCATTTCTCAGTAGTCCTGGAGGCCGGAGGGTGAGAAATGGGGCTGCACAATGAGCTCATGAGGAGCTGGAAGCCAGGCCTCCGCCAGTCTCCACACAGCGCTTCTTTCGTCCTGTGGTTATCACTGCTGGGGAGAAGGGTGGGGCTCGGGAACCAGGAAGAGATTGGGGTGTTAGAGCCGGAGCTCACAGACCACCTGGGGGGGCTTTGGACTTTGCATCCTCTGGCATTTCTGCAGACTGGAGGCCAGCGAGCAGGCATGAGCGCTGCTTACTTGCCCCTTCCTTTGGCGCATGGCTTTCCTTCAACAAATCTCCCATCACACATAGAACCAGCGGCCCCAGTCTTGAGCGTGGCCGTGATAAAAAGAAAAGAAAACCTCAGATGGTTTAATCAGGAACCAAAGCGTGGGAGGGGAGAAGTCTGCATGGAGAGGGGCTTGGGAGGATCACGTGCCCGCACTTCCTGTGCAAGGAAACCGTTAGGCTGAGGACTTTGACCTTGTGACATAGTTAGACTGCAGGTACACTCCATAAGAAATCCTCTGCCCCTGGGAAGGGGCATCTGGGTCAGCTTCAAGGGGCACCATGGAGCTGATAATCCCCAGAGGTTAAACAGGCCCGGGCAGGGGGGCCGGGGCTGAGGCTGTCATACCTTGCAAATGCACAGGTCTAGGTTGGAGGTATCCGGGCTGTGCTGTGAGGGGCCCTTTCTTTAAGGCTCCCTTAATTCTCTCGAGCCTAGGACGGTGCCATTCTCTGGCACCTTGACACCACCCTGCAGTGGCCACCGAGGTGTTCCTATTGACCTTGCAGATCCTTTGCCTCAGATTCCCGGGTATACTGCGCTTATCAAGGTTCGGGGGGCGGGGGGGGAGTTGTAGGTTACTCCAACCTTTCTAGAAGACTTCCCCTAAATGCACGCCGGCACAGCAAGAAGCAGTCTGGCTGGCCTTCTACCTGGACGAGGAGGCAACCCCTGCTGCGCGGGGCTGGGCCGCGGTCCGGCGCGGGTTCTGAGGGATGCAGGATGCCCGCAGCCGATGGGAGGCAGCCTGAGCCCGAGAGAGCCCGGGGTAGCCGCGGAGGCAGCGCGCTGGAGCGCAGCCTCCTCCCGCTCCCACAATGCACAGGGAGGCGGCGGCCGCTGCATCGCCGGCTGCCGAGGAGGCTGGCTGCGGCGGCACCCACCCCGAGCAGCCTGGGCACGCGAGGCGCTCGCGGTAGCTCGCGCCGAGTCCGGGAGTGATGGCGAGGCCCCCGCGCGCCGCCCGCGCCTGAGGCGCCGCGCCCCGCCCCGGCCCGCCCCGCCCGGCTCCGCGTGGTCCGCCTCGCCCGGCCCTGCCCCGCGCGCCCTGCTGCCCGCTGGCCCCGGTGCTTCCTAGTCGGCGCGGCCGGCGGCCCGGGCGAGGTGCGGCCTCGGCGCAGGAGGCCGTGGGGGCGTCGGTGCGCAGGGCCCAGCCATGGCCGCGTCCGAGCTCTACACAAAGGTAACGCGCCCTGGGGAGGGGCCTCTGGGCAGGCCCGGGCCGCAGGCTGCCAGGAGCGGCCGGGCAGGGGCACCAGGGCCCGGCGGAGGCGGCCAGCATCCCCTTCGCCACTCGCCCCGCTGGCCAGCGTTTCCAAACCCCCGGCCCTGCCTGCCCCTGGCCTGCAGCGGCACCTTCCGCTTTCCGGCGTTGATGTTAGGGGGTCGGCGTTGGGAGGCCTGTCGTGGGGGTCACCTGGCCATCCCTTGCCAGGCTGCTCGGGGTGTGGGGGGGGGGAGGGGGAGAGCAAAGGGGCACGAGGTTTTGAGTGGAAAAGCGGGAGCGGGCCAGGGCCGCCTTGCCTTCCGCTTTTGCTTGGGGAGGAGTCCGGCTGCTGGGAGATGCTGGCTAGGGTTGCTCCAATGGTCACCCTCGTGGGGACTGTAGCTCAAAATAACGCGTGGTGTGGCTGCTGCAGAGCTGCTCGTGCCACCGACCAGACTTCCTGGGAGGTGCTTTGCAACCCTGCTCGCAGTGGCTAGTTGATTGTCACCTTTAGCGGCCCTGTTTCCGATGGCTACCCTGGAGCAGCCAGCCCTTCAGAGGAGGATGCTGCCCCAGGAGTGCCAGCTGACTGGACTGTGGCCTTGTCCTCCAGTCTTGGTTCGCAGCTGGCACGGAATCCCTAGAGCCTTGTTAGGCTCTGTGTCTTAGCCTTCTCTGGGGAGCCTTTTTGCTTCTGGGATTAAGTGAAGGCAAGAGGCAGCCCTTTCTTCTTAGGCTGTTCTCGAATCTGGGCATCTCTGACATCTTTTGGAGAGCTGTCCCATTGAAAGGCTGTCCTGAGCGTTTGCTTCGGATGGTGTGAGTGCCCTGTGTGGATGTTTGTGGTTACGGCCTCGTACGCTGTAATTCCCGTGGAAGTAGATGTGACAGTCATAGATTACCTAATTCCAGTCAAGGGAATTGTGCTAACTTTTCAGATTTGCATTTGCAGCTGAGTCAACATTTACGCTGTAGGAATCATTGCTTCCAAATGTGACCCAAGGAAGCCCAGGATCCAAGTTGTAACACATTTATGGGGGGAAGGAGGTGTGAGCTGCAGGACCCCTGGATTTTAACTGGGATCTCTTTACTCACCTTGTGATCTCTGGCAAGTCGCCTAATCCTTTCTCACAGGCGAAAGGAGTTTGTTGTACCTACTCCTCAACCCTTCCCTGATTTTGTTAAGGTCAGACTTAGTAGCTGTGCGAACTCTTTGTATCTTGTGGATCTCTGCCCTTGTGAGGAAGCAGATGATCAGTTCCCTCCATGGAAATGAGGAGCTGCTATGAGACATTTTCTGGGACGTATGTCCGTCCGTCCGTCTGTCCTTCCTTCTGTCCTCCCTTCCTCCTTCCCTTCCTCCTTTTCTTTTTCTTTCTTTCTCTTTCTTTCTTTCTTTCTTTCTTTCTTTCTTTCTTTCTTTCTTTCTTTCTTTCTTTCTTTCTTTCTTTCTTTTCTTTTCTTTCTCTTTCTCTTTCTCCTCCTCCTCCTTCTCTCTTTTTTTTTTTCTTCTTTAAAGATTTACCACAGTTTTTGAAAGGCAGACTTACAGAGACAGAGAGGGATCTTCCATCAGTTGGTAGACTTCCCAAATGATCACAGTGGTTGGGGATGGACCAAGCTAAAGCCAGGAACCTGAAATTTCATCTAGATGTCACATAGGGGATAGGACCAAAAGTCCCTAGGCCATCTGCTATTTTCTGAGGCACATTAGTAGGGAGCTGGATTGGAAGTGGAGCAGCTGGGACTTGAACTGTTACTCTTTTGAGAGGCCACTGCCACAGGTGACATTCTAAACCACTGCACCATAAAGCCTGTCTGGGACCTCTTTCTGACCTCAGAGTTAACAACTGCAGAAGTGGAACTTCTCTAAATCTGGTTAATTCTTTATATATATATACACACACACACATATATACACAAAGATACACACACATATATACATATAGGTGTATTTATATATATATATTTTTGTTTTGTTTTGTTTTGTTTTTCTCAGCTCTCCTCAGAGAACTGAAGGCAGCTGTGAGGTCCCATTGCCTCTGATTTTGGAAGTCAAGCTATATATATATATTTTTTTCTAGTGTATAAGTAAATGCTACCCAAAACTGATTAGCTGATTATAATTTACTTTATTAACAAATACACAGTGTTCAGTGTATACCATATCAGGTTCTGTTTTACAGATTTCAGCATTTAATCCTCATGTTGAATAAATGAGCTGGACACAAGGAAATACCAACTTTTTTTTAATTTATTGTCTATTTTTACTTCTAAGTCAGTTGCAGAGAGAAAGAGAGACGTAGATAGAAATCTTTCATCTGCTGGCTCATTCCTCAAATGGCTGCAAAGGCCAGAACTGGACCCATCATAAGTCAAGAGCCAGGAGCTTCTTCTGGGTCTCCCACATGGTTGCAGGGGCCCAAGGACTTGAGCTATCCTCTGCTGCATTCCCAGGTGATAAGCAGGGAGCTAGATGGAGGTGGAGCAGCTGGGACTAGACCCAGTGCCCACATCGGATGCCAGTGTCCCAGACAGAGGTGCCAACCACCCCAGAGTCACTTAAAAAAAAAGATTACTTATTTTGTAAGTCAAAGTTTTCCTACCACTGGTTCATTCTTCAAGTAGCCACAATGGTCAGGCCTAAGCCAGGCTAAAACCAGGAGCCAGCAACTTCATCTGAGTCTCCCACATGAGTGGCAGGGCACAACCCATTGGGCTGTCTTCTGCTGCTTTGCTGGAGGAGCCAGGATGTAAGCCTGCATCCATACAGGATGAGAGTGTCATAGGCAGTCACTTTATAGGTTACACTACAGTGCCAGCCTGAGTCATTTTTCAATAAAAAGACACCAGTCTGTCAACATTCCATAGTTACTCTGTGTAGCCTCCATCCATGCCCTTGCTCTATAGTGAACTTTATTTACTTATTTGAGAAACAGACTGAGAGACCTCCCTTTCTGCTGGTTCACCCTGTGAAATGCCCACACTGACTGAAGCTGGGTTACACTGGAGCTAGAAGACAAGAAATTAATCCGAGTCTCCCCAACGGCTGGCAGGGACCTAGCTCCTGGATCCATCACCTGCTTCCTCTGGGATCTGCACTGGCAAGAAGCGGAGCCAGGAACAGGAGTTGGGAGTTGAACCCAGGAGTTCTGACATGGTTGCTGATCTCTGAACCACTAGACCAAATGCCTATCCCAAAAAGGCCATCTTTGAACCACCACTAATAATGAGATGCTTATGTGTGATGCCTGCATCTCATGGGTGCTTGTTCTAATCCCAGCTGCTCCACTCCAATCCAGCTCCCTGCCAGTTAAAATGGCCTGAGTGCTTGGCCCCCTGCCACCCACTGGGAAGACCCTGCTGAAGCTTCTTGCCCCTGGCTTCAGCCTGCCTCAGTCCTGTGAACCAGCGAATGGAAGACTCCTCACTGTCTCTCCTTCTCTCTTTGTAATTCTTTCTAAATAAATGCTTTTTTTAAAAAAAATAAAATTCATTTTTTTAGTCATAAAGATAGTTTGATACAGACATTGACTCTGAAGCTGGAGCTTAAACTGACTAAATATACTTATGCCCCAGAGTGTTCTTGTCCCTTGGATTTTCATTGGCTCCTGCTTTTTGTGAATGGGCCTTTGCTTAATGATAGGTCGAGATCTTTATGGGACAGCCTGTGCGACTGTTGGAAGATTCCAACAAGTAAGAGGAAGTCCTTTCGCTCAAGGAGCACTCATGTGCTGCTGTTTTGTTGTTGTTGGTGGTGTTTTTAAGATTTATTTACTCACTTGAAAGGCAGTTCTACAGAGAGTGAGGAAGAAAGGAAAGGAGGGGAGAAGAGATTCCATCTGCTGATTGACTCCCCAAATGGCTGCAATAGCCAGTCAGGAACCAGGAGGCAGGAGCTCCAACCTGGTCTTCTACATGGGTCGGAGGGCCCCAAGTGCTTGTGCTGTATTGGCTGTTTTCCAAGGTGCATTAGCGCGGAGCTAGATTATAAGTGGAACGGCTGGGATTTGTTTTGTTTTGTAAGATTTACTTATTTTTATTGGAAAGGCAGATATACAGAGAGAAAGAACTTCTTTCTGCTGATTCACTCCCAAGTGCCCACAAGACCAGAGCTGAGCCAATCCAAAGCCAGGAGCCAGGAGTTTCCTCTGGGTCTCCCATGAAAGAGTAGTTACAAGGCTTTGGACCATTCTCTACTGCTTTTCCCAGGCCACAAGCAGGGAGCTGGATGGGAAAGAGAGTAGTTGGGTCTTAAACTGGCACCCACATGGGTTCCTGTTGCATGCAAGGCAAGGATTTAGCCAGTAGGCTGTTGCGGTAGACCCAATAGCTGGGCTTTGAGCAAGTGCTCACAATGGGTGCCAGCATCACAGATGCTGTGCTGCCTTGCCAGCCTCAGCACAGAGTGATTCTTATACCCTTCCTCATTTTGAGTTTCCAAGGACACACATAACCCACTGTTGCCATAACAACAGATAGACAGCTGGCGTATTAGTAGAGGATAGAGGTTTGGGATGTGGGGAAAGTTGGAATGAGTCCAGGGCTGGTGATTATTAGGGAAGAAGGAGGAAACGATTAGAATTAGTTATCAGTGGATAAACATAGGGGTCTTTCCTTTGCAGAGGATAATAGAGAAGGAAGTTCTGGGATAAATTACAAGGAATGATGTATTGGTGACATGCCATAATTACAGTATTCAGCGTTGTGGTTCAATCTGAAAAGTGCCCTTTAAAAAATGTCACCCAGCGTTCACAGGCAGATTGATTTTGATGAGTGATACAGATCAGCTTCTGTTAACGGTGAGGGGCGATGGGCTAGACACTGTTCAGTTTTCTTTTTTTCTTTTTCCTAGCTAGAAAGGAAATAGTTTTGTCATAGTAATTTAGCAGGACTTCCATTTTGTAACATTTCTCGGGAGTATACATCTTTAAAGGGTAATGATTGGATTCTGGGGATATAATGATTTCTAGAAG